AGAGGGGAGGAGCAGGGGGAGGAGCAGAGGGTCAGAGGGGAGGAGCAGAGGGTTAGAGGGTCAGAGCAGAGGGTTAGAGGGTCAGAGCAGAGGGTCAGAGCAGGGGGAGGAGCAGAGGGTCAGAGGGGAGGAGCAGGGGGAGGAGCAGAGGGTCAGAGGGGAGGAGCAGAGGGTTAGACACTTACTGATCTTGCTGTCCTGAGGGAGAGACACTCCAGACACACAGCGATGGGACGCCTGTCTCTTAGAGGGGTCGAGAGCGACCCTGGAGAGGAGAGGAAAGTGGGACGGAGAAGGACGGAGTGAGCAGAAGGAAGAAATATTCCGAGTGACAAATTAAAGATAAAAAGCCAAAAAGTTATTCAGACAGAAGGACAGAGGAGGGAGCGAGACGGCGGCCAATCTCTGACTGCAAAACTCTGTCACCTGTCAATGGATGAGATGAAAGAGAGACGAGGAAGAGCTGCAAGCACACCCCATCCCCCAACCAGGACATACCACATGTGACAAGTCCAACTTACTGCCAACAACTGTCACACCGTGCACAACACACTCCATGCAACTGTCACACCGTGCACAACACACTCCATGCAACTGTCAGTCCTGACCTATCACACAGGATTGTACACAGTTGACATCATACGGCACTTCCCCAACACACTGATCACAGTCGTCCCAGCACTGAGCTGTCACACAGCTGACAGAACAGTTCCAGTCTGGGAACCATTAGAGTCAGAGGATGAAGGGGATGACGGATGATGGAGAGGATGATGAGGATGACGGATGATGAGGATGACGGATGATGAGGATGACGGATGATGGAGAGGATGATGAGGATGATGGAGAGGATGATGAGGATGATGGAGAGGATGATGAGGATGACGGATGAATTCCTCTCTCTATCACTTACCTGCGAGTCAGTTTGGAGGTCAGTTTGCTGAACAGGTTGGAGGTGGCCCGGGACCGGCTCTGGTTCAGTCCGTCATGTGGGTGGGTGGGGGAGCTCGGCGGCGGATTCTGACCCCTGCGATCTCTCACGTGACCGCCATGAAAAGTGCTGCGAACATTGGAACCGCGGGAGAGGGAGCTGCGCTCCGCAATGCTCTGCGTGGAGGGTGAGGAGGCCGGAGGGCGAGAGGGCGTAGAGCTGGTGAGAGAGAGAAAGACCAATCAGGAAGCAGCAACACGGCCAGAGAGACCCCCGAACATGCCGAACCTTCTACCCCATCCGGACCACCCAACACCACCAGTATGGAGCCCCATCACAGTGTATATTATCCCTTACCCCCGATAATGCCCCCGGACTCCGCCCCCATCCCCTTTATATTACCCCTTACCCCTGATAATGCCCCCGGACTCCCCTCCTATCCCCTTTATATTACCCCTGATAATGCCCCCGGACTCCCCTCCTCTCCCCTTTATATTACCCCTTACCCCTGATAATGTCCCCGGACTCCCCTCC